TACATGCCCTGACTTTTTTTTACCCCCTTTTAGTTAAAATAAATGCATTAATTAATTAATTAATTAATTAAAATAAAGCAGCATTTTGAATTCTGCGATCAGTCATTCATTTTTCTTTTTGGGTTTTGGGTGTAGGGTTCTTTGGGTGGAAGTGAAAATTTGGGGGTGGGTTGTGTATTAGGCAGGTAAAGAGAATATTATTTTACCCCTCAAAAGGTTGTCGTGGCCTGCTACTACACTGTGGAGGAGGCCAATGCCATGCTGATACTTGAGTCATAGGAAAGTGACTTCTTGATCTGTCTGACAGTGAGACACTTACTGCATCAGATGTAGAGCCCCCAAGCAAACCTTCTGGTGAGTGTCCTTCCACCGTAACACTATACATGAGGAGCTCAGAGTGCTACAATATTTCTGAGCATAACTGGGAATCACCAAATCTAAGTGCCCCTCGAATACCCCTGTTTTTGTCAATTCCTGGCATCATAACTAGAGTTCATAGTTGTGATCTAGAAAATTATTTTATCCTGTTAATGAGCATGTTTGAGCTAATGGCTGCGCAGACAAATTTGTATGCCAGCCAATATTTTGCTGTCAATCCCAATTCTCATTACACCTGAAAAAATATGTGGCACCCCACTGACAGCACTGAAATGAGTCGGTTTTGGGAGCTTATGCTAGCAGGGGGGATGGTTAAAAAAACAAAGACTCTGTGGAAGAATTTCCTTACGAGAATCCTACCTGCCATAGCCCACAAACATTCACCTCAGGAAAAGTCTGCTACAAAAGAGGAGTTAGGAGGAACTCTGCATATTATTGCCCTTACAGCCCATATCTACCTCACCTATGCACATTTGAATGTTTTAAAGTGTACCATACAGAGTTAAACTATTAATTCAAAACGCTCTTTTTGTGACTCTTTATGTTATTCTGGATTCCTGACCTCGGCTTGTCCTGATTACTCTTTGTCAGCTGCCTGTGTTGACTTATTTTACTGACTACTCTGATTTCTGGATTCCCTGACTTAGGCTTGTCCCTGTTTGTTACAATCAGCCATTTTAAAGTGGCTAGATCAAACAACTCAAACTACCCCATTTGGAATACCATGGGGTTCCTGCTATTATCATGGGGGTAATTTTCTATCCTGAGATGCCATACTGTCTCAAAGGCGACCTAGGTTAACAAAATCACATTGTCAAAATTCTAAATGAAAAGGGCATCTAATATTTTTGGTCCTGTGACTTAAAAAAATCAAACTGGAAAGCCAGTACAAGGGGGCACTGTTATATTTGTGAGACAATGTGAAATGAAAATACTGAGGCTTTATTGCAGTTACTCATATCAGGATTATGAAATTTCCTGTGAAAATGGAATTCATGTGTGTGAAAAAATACAAAAGAAAATATGACCACTAATTGAGGGCAGCATGGGTTGCCTACTTATGAAAATGTCACACCATAATGATAGAAATGTTATTACCCAGACTGTCATACTCTCCCAAAGGCGACATAGGCCCAGAAAATCCCTTTGTTAAATTTCCGACTTTGAAATGGGCATCTTCCGACTTTGAAATTTGGCCCTGTGACTTCCCCCAAAAAGGGGGTCTTTCTTGTGGCCTTGGATATCTCCCTCTTCTCTTATCTTTCCTAACATACATTTCTTTCAGTTTAGTTATTTATTTGGTATGTATTGTGTATTCTATCATTTCAATTGATTATTTCGATTGTGTTATATTGTTTGTCTTAGTGTAGTATACACTTTTTGCTCCTTGTGTTTCATATTTTGGATGAACGTATTTTCTGTTAGATGCATACTATTTTCTACAGCAATTAATTACCTGGGTGTGATATATTTTTGATACATGTTTTATAGATGTTGTTTGTTTTGGATGTTCTATAGATGCTATATATGTGCTGGGTATATACAGTAAAATGGTTTAATATTTCCTTTGGGTGTGCTCCGTGATTAATAGTTACTTCTCCAAAAACTGAGGCTTTATTGCACTGACTCTTATCAGGATTATGAAATGTCCTGTGACAAGGAAGCTCATAGATGTAAAAAAACACAAATAAAATATATGGCGCCCGCATTAGTGATAACGTGGCTAAACCAAAAACTCAAAACCCACCATTTGGAATGCTCTGGGTTACCTAGTTTTCCATAATGGTGTAAACAATATTACCCAGTGTACCATATTCTCTCAAAGGTGACTGATTCTCTTATTTTTTTCTCTATAGAAATATGAAATTAACTTTTCGACAGACTTCAATTTCTTATCTACACAGTGCATTTCCTGTTTGTGTACTTTGTAAAAAAACATTTTTGTTTCTCTTTTTCGATGCTTGAAGTCTGATGACTCAGACGAAAGGTGTTGATTAATCTGCCAGACTTCATTAAAGCAGAATGATTCAATAGTACTAGCTTTAGGGTAATCTAACTCATACTTTTCTGCCTTGTGATCTGCTGCAATTTTTTCCCCCCTTGTTTTCATTTTCTCTGATATCTTCACACATTCTCCACTAACATTATAAAGTTTGTGTTTGAACAGATTTCAAGTATCCACTCTTTTTTGTCAGTGTAATTATCTAAAAATACACAGTTTTTTGTAGCTTTATGTTATCAGTGCTGCCATAGATAATTGATATAAAAAAATAAATAAAAACGCTTGGATTAAATTAGGTGAATAATATCCAAATCAAGAAAGTGCTTTATGGTGTCCTGTTCAAATTGATAAGTCACAGAAAATTACTCCAAGCAAAGGGTCGGCTGAAAGCCTGTCTAACTGAAGATGAGTTAAATTAATTAAAAATTAATATTAAATTAATATTCATCTAAAAGTTAATTACTGTGTTTTAAATGAACTGTGAGAAAAAGCATGCCTCTCCCTGAGCTTCCTGTATCTTTACAGATTTAATGAAAGAAGTAATATCTTTTATTTCTTTATTTTCAGTATGTCAGAAGACTGTTTAATGGTTTTGATTTGTTTGTTTCCTTTTTTAACTTACAAAACTAGTAGAATATATTTTTTTCCTTGTTGATTTTACTGTTGTGGGCTTATTTGTTTTACTGATACATACTGGTACATTTAGATAGACATAACCATTTTATTACAATGGACTGATGTATAATTGGCCATCTGTAGCCCATTAAATATAGGTGGTTGATCATCAAAAACTATTTTTATACTGTTTTGCCTGCCAAAAATGGGGTACATTGGCGTTGACAGGCTTATGCAATATATGACCGTATGCTATAATTAAATCCCCATTACCTTTGCCTAAATCAGGTGTCTTTTAAAAAAGAATTCCATTTTTTTAGCTTTAAAGTTGGTGTTTAAGTATTGAGTACGCTGGATCTTGTATGATATATATATATATATAGATAGATATAATGATATGTGTATATTTATTTGTGGTCGTATACAATAAGTCGAGTTATAGTAATGGTGGTGTAAGTCGGTTGTGATGTGCCGGAACCGACGTTTGGGTAGGCCTGTAAAAGAGGGCCCAAAAAGATGAATGGCTTAATACAGGGAGTGGTGGGTGGGCTGAACCAGGCAGTCTCAGCCCAGACGAATGGGAGGTCTGTGTATTTATAGGCCGGGTAACTCCTGGAATGTAGGGGTTTAGTAGGCCGTGGGGAGAGTTTGGTAGAATACGACAAATTGTTGTTGAGTCACCTCATCGGTTGCTATGTTTTGACAGCCTGGTATGGGTATGTGAACAAAGTAGAGTTTCTGTGATGCTGCCAGACACATCTTTTCCTAATCAACCTTATTATTGTTAGTGAGGGGGACTGACCAGTAATAATTCCCATGCTGCTGATTTACTAAAAGAGGGTAGGTTCCATGTCACTATGGGAAATGAGTCACGGACCCAGTTATCTATGAAATTGTCTGCCATCCAGTGGGGGTGGCTGTATTACTCCAGAAATGAGGTACAATGGTGGAGTGAACATGGTTTCCCTATTCTGGTGGGATGGAAAGTTTAGCAACAATAACATGTGTTGAATGTAAGAGCTCTATTGTTGACAGGTGGACTTCGGAGCAGGTTGAGTGGATGGTAAATTAATGAGCTCCCTTGTGTAAGGTACATGGTAAAGTTCAGAGGACCAAGTAAAGACTGGAGATCCATATGGGAAACAGGCATCATTGCCCAGAAAATATTTTCCCTTTCTGAATGCACTGAAATCAAGTCTAATGTATTTCCAGAAATTAAAATTGGTGTAGGGACCAAAGCTTGATCGAGACAGTGGAGTTCTAAAGGATGTACCAGATACAAAAAGACACATCTGCTTCAGAGTATGGCATTCAGTTCCATAATCGTTATACTCATGTAGAGAACATATTACTGAGGGACAGTACTGACATACAAGGGGAGCCTACAGAGAGATTATGAAACTATATTGAATAGTTTGGGCATCCCTCCACTCCAAACGTGTGGCAGAGTAGAATGCTCTGTTCACTAAATATTGTGAAAATGCCACTGGGACCGATGCACTGGGAGCAACTTGAAAATTAGGAATATGGCATTTTCCTAGTCAGGCTGCTTCTGTGGCCCATAAGATAGGCCAAATACCATGGTCTAATGCTGGGAACTTTAAAGAACGAGTAGACGATAATTAAATTGAGCAGTGGATTTCCATTAATTAGGCTAATATGGTAGTTGCACCCACAAATAAAGAGGTTGTCAGAAGGGCCCCAGCAAGAAACTAATACTTCATTCTGCTACTAATAGTAATTAAGTTGTACAAGTCTTAACTAGTAGATTGGAGGTTTGGACAAACCCTAATACTTGATCAAAGTGAAATGACGCTTGTGCGGAAACCTACTGTGAAAGCTGTAATTAGAAACTCAACTAAAGAAGTGTGAGTATTAAGGGAGACGCCTCTTAGTGACAAAAGGCAAGTACGAATACGGAACAGTCAGATTGTACCGTCTGTGTTCCCTAGCTTTCAACTACTGACAAGTCTTGTAGCTATGTCCTTCCAAAGGGCAGGGGAACTTACTGCACAGATAACACTAGACGAGGATACATGTGCTGGATAGCAATTGGCGGTGTAACACTGGGGGGATGGAAGTAAGGAGCATAACGTAGGGTAGTACATGGGAGGGTAAGACGTCCAAAGGAGATTCTAAACATCACTAGTGTCACGTTGTTTATAAGGATAAAAGGATGGGAGCTATCATGGCCTACATCCCTGTCATGCTGTCTGTGTTTCCCGCTTGGGTGCCGAAACAAGGTAGGGTAGCCCAGAGCTAGAAACCAGAGTCTATACATCACAGTTTTCTGAGCCAAAGAAGGGAATGGCACTCCTTTATGTCGGAGCTCGGTGGTAAATGTGGAACGGTACAACATCGCCAGGAACTGGGGCTGGGGTATCCTGGGTTACAGCAGGAGTGCATGGTCTAGGTGGGGTGAAGGGTTTGGCTGGGGAGCCTGGATTGATATATCTTACTAGGTCTGAGGTGTGCAAAATCTACATGTAGAGTAAATGTGACAGTCATGGTGATAGTATAACAACTTGCGGCTTGCATAGTGCCGAATGCCGAAAAATTATCTAAATGAGGGAAAGGTGAGGCACTACTAATTGCCAATTGGCTCTGAGAGGCTCTAGCTATGAATTGGCCAAGGGACTGAGGCCACTGAATGATGTGGTGGGAATGTTGGTCTCTCTGTGACAAGAGATTCAAAGGAGAGGCCGTGACATGTGAGGCCCTATCTAAAACCTAGAGAGGTAGGAGCAAGGGTCTAGCTATGAGTTGGGCCTATTGACGAATACCTCCCCCACTTACACATATTGAGAACGCATGAAATACTGAGCTTACAATTTATTTTTATTATTTTACATTTAATCACACAGTGTAAAGTACATCATCATATAACATTTCATCATATAATAACATTTCATTTAATGACACAAGGCTGAAAGAGTTAAAAGAAGGAAAAAAAAGGGAAGGTGACAAGTGGCACTAGTGGATAGGCAATGACAACATTAAACAAAGGTTAAAATGTGTTAAGTTCTGACAAAAATTAAGGCAATGAGTTTTAAAGTTTTAAGTTTGATATATGTAAGAACCGGGTCAAATGGTTAAGCACATAGATTTGTCTACTTAAGGTATTAATAGGTGTTCTGTGGCTAATATGAAATTAGAAAGGGGTCTTCTACCTACGGGATCTGTGTGTTCTTAGTTCAGTTATTTCAGTTATGTCCTTTGTGAAAAAATGAGAAAAACACATCTCTACCTTTAGCCAATGACAGGATCTTTCAGCTATATACATACATCTTGGTTCATTCAGGCAGTGTTTGGAAAACAGTAGTTACTCTTTATGGTCTTTCCTGCTTCACTCCCTGCACGGATCAGGGAAGACCATAGAGATTGTTGGTTTTCAAACATTGTCTGAAGTTGCATGTATATGGCTGAATGAGCCCTGTCATATAGTAAAGGTAGAGATGTTTTTTCCCCTTTTTTACATAAACTTTGTTTAAAAATATATATGTGTGTGTGGTAAAAATATATGTGTGTGTGTGTGTATATATATATATATATATATATATATATATATATATATATATATATGTATTTATGTGTGTGTGTGTGTTTGTATATATATATATATATATATATATATATATGTGTGTGTGTGTGTATATATATATGTATATATATATATTTGTGATCAGGGAAATTAGCCGAGTAAGCGTAGATTGTGTTATTAACTAAATTCGGTTGCATTGTGCCGAAACCGAATGTACGGGCAGGCACATCTCTACAAGGTAGTATTGTAGAGAGGTGCATAAGTGGAGTGGTGGGTGGGGTGACCAATCGTCGTCGGCCTGGTATGGAGGTAAGTCTGAGTTTATACAGGCCGGAACACCCCCTCCCACAACTCCAGGCTCCGCCTTCTCATTTGTGGTCAGGGAAATTAGCCAAGTAAGCGTAGATTGTGTTATTTGCTAAATTCGGTTGTAGTGTGCCGAAACCGAATGTACGGGCAGGCCTGTAAATAAAAAGGGCAAAAAGTATGGGCAAAACAACTTTAATATGTAACAGTAAAATTCCAAATTTAAGTTTGACATGTACATTCACTTAGTTAAATCTAGAAATGCTTTCCTCATTTATTTTTCTGGTTGAGGAATGTATCGGTTGAAAGCGGACGATTTCTAACGGCCCAGTTTTTTATGATGTGTGCTGGGACGTTCTGACTAGATGCGGCCGTAGCCCCACCAGTTCAGAAAGAATGACCGGTGAATGCTGATGGGTCATACCCTATTTTGGAAAACAGAGTTCGTATGTATACCATGAATTTGGATTTTGTCAGTGGGCTGCCGTGTAGATTTAGTAGCGGGGTGTTCTTATCTTATATTTTTATGCATGGGTATAGGCTGTCAAATAGTTGTACTGGGCAAACATGGGTTTGAAGTTTGTGGGACATTTGTAAACCTTAACATATTGCTAGCCTTGTCAATCTGTGAGCTCTCCTCTTCCCCTTCTTAGTCAATGCTTTCTACACATTGACTACAGTAGTTAAGATATGTCATTAAATCTTATTCTGTCATGAGATAGATCTCTCAATTTCTCTTCAATACGGTTATCTCACATGACCTTGTAATTGAACCAGCTGGTTGTATGGTAATCAGGCCTCCCTGATTGTCAGCTTCTGTACATTTCCAATTACATCGTTGTCTCTTTGTTCTGTGACCTACTGCCCTTCTGTCTAAAGGAATTGCCTGCAATCTGATGTTTTTCTGATGTTTTTCTCTTTTTTTTTTTTCTTTCTATACAAGCAAGGACCTTCCTGCACGGGTTTTCGCTCATGTTTTATTGCTCAGTTGCTAATAAGCTTCTTCAATATTTTTCTTCAGCTGTCGTTTTTAATACAGCTTCCCAGCATTTATTAGAATCTAAAGAAACAGAGAAATGAATGGGCATTTAATATTTCTTTTAGATTTGGCCTTGAGCTCTTAAAGATTTTCTTCAAAATATGATTTAAATCAATACGTGAACTTTCATTTTAAAATACCCAATTTCCTGGTACTGCAATGTGTTACCTCGCAATGCACTTGAATAAACATACCACGGATTCTGGTGCTAAAGTCTGTGCTTCCATAATTCAGCCATGTTTTCCAAATTTACTCACACTAGAACTAGTGAACATTTATAACACACCTAGATTCGTCAAAATCGCACAAATTATCTATAAAGACAGCCTCAAAAGCTGGTGGTTATAGGTGTTTGAGAACAAATGACTCTATATTAACCCTGTCCAAAGGTAGATGTGATTCTTATCTCATCTTTTACATACTTTTATAATTCCTTTGAGTAATAGGTTCGGATTAAATAATGCAGAATTTGATAAAGACAAAATAGTTCAACAATTCAACCATCATTACCAACCATTTATTAATGTACTGGCTTTATGTACTTTACATTTGTAGACATTCAACGCAGCTGAATTTTTTTAATGCACTGCTTAAGCAGTTAAGGTAATAAAAATAGAATAGCATACACCAGGCATAGGGGGCATAATGGGGGCTGTAGTCCATAACATCTGGGGTGCCGAAGGTTGCCTACCCCTGGCATACACTGACACAATATATTTTGGATCCAGTCTTGACTCCACATAAATATAGGAGACTGTCAGAGTAACAGACTGTTTTGGCAAGTACAACACCATAATACAACAAAGCAATATAACTTGGGTGTTATAAAACCAGTCTTCTATATTGATACATATGTATATTTCTAAACACTTTTTTGTGTAGGAGGAGTGGAGCAGCGCCTTAGATAAAGTCCTCAAATTCGGGTCAGCGTGACTCAGTATGTAACGAGAAAAGAGGACAGAATGCAAAATATAGTGTAGTATGTTGATTAATAAAAAACAACATTCACCCATTGTTTATGATGTATTCAGAGACATTTTGGCAATTAAAAGTTATACATTCTGTTTGTCATATATTGCGTGATTAAAAGTATAGCTCAGTTGGGGAACTTAGTTATGATCAGGGGTGTTGCTAGGTTTCATAAATGCCTGGGACTAGAGGCCAAAGGTAAACTTGATGGCCCCTATACTAACAGAGATGTGAGAATATGTAATTACGTTTCTCTGACTTTTTATGGTATGCCCCCTCCTCTTTACACATGAGCAGTATGATGCTGATGCTCTCTGGATTATCAATTAAAGCATAGTTGAAAACAAGCACATGTTGAACAGTTAGATATTCAATAAAATTCTGCCAGGCAGCCAAACTAATAGAGGGGTGTGCAGCAAAGTTCTGTTCCCCAGCACCCTATCCACCGTCCAGTCAGCTGGGGAGCACCACCCTATCTCCCTAAACAGCCTAGTGAAGCATTATAGTACTGATTTTTCTTTTTATAATAGGTGGTTGCTTTGAGAAGCAGTTGTAAAATAAAAAACACAAATATCATCTTTCCCCATACACCAACTGTAGAGATTAAAATGTCCTCATCTCGGGCTTCAAACCCCGAAGCCTCCCTCTAACAATGCCTATGGTTACTGTAGGTGTTGTTGAGTCTGTTTGTTCCAACCATTACAATGTTCCGTCTTCTAGGGGAACTCCCATAGAATGCCGACGGTCATCGCCTTTCTTAGGGGGGTGAAACTCTTAAACTGGCAGGATACTAGAGCTTTTATAATTTTATACTAAGTAGCAGCTAATCGAAGTAGCAGAGCATGGATTCGGCACATTCCAGCCAGCTACCCTACTAGTTTAATGTGTAGAAGTACTTAGGGGATGTAAGGAGACAGACAAGGTGGGTTTAGGAAGATCGGGAGAGAGACATAAGGAGTTTTATAAGAGGTAATCGGAAAGAGAGAGAAAATATGTTTTATGGAGATAGGGAGAGAGATACCCAGAAGTGAAGGGAGATTTAGGACTACATGGGTTAAAGGATAGCATAGGAGATTGACCATGGGTGCTGCTTTGAGTTAAGGGTTATTGCAATTTGAAATGAGCTTAAGCCCTCGAAGCTTATAAAACTTAGCAGCATACTAAAATATGGCTGATATTGCCGATATTGGAAACAGTGAAGCAGTTCAGTATAGAGCACTGTTTCAGCCAAAAATGCCATGACGTTTGTGATCTGCATGTAACTATGAGAAGAGAAGCAGGAGTAATAGAAACATGGGCTAAGTGTGGATAAACAGTGATCTAGATTTCAGACGAACCCTTCTCTGTAGCAGAGTGTGAAATTACTTGTTTACACCTCTTATCTGTAAGTTAGGTTGTTGCAGACAATCCACAGAAAGTCTATTTTTTAAACCTAATTTATACTCAGCCGAACGTTGCCGCATCCTGGAGTGTTACTGAAATACTTTCACACACGGTTACCATG